CCGTGGTAATTTTCTAACTTGCTCCCCTTTTTTTATTCTTCTAAGTATCAGTTCTGACTCTATTTTGATTCACAGCTCGCTAGTCAGAGTAATACTTTCGTCGCGGCATATGAGGTCGCTCTATATGACGAGCAAGTGAGAGTGGCAGAGCTGGAGGATCGGATCTCCAAGGTTGAATATCGCCTTGCTACCGAGCTCCGGATAAATGAAGAACTTCACAACGCTGTGGATCTACTGAAACAGGAGAGTTCGGAGCTCAAGGCGGTCAAGGCTGAGCTGACGGAAGCACAAACTCTCTTATCTCATGAGTTCAAGCGGGACAAAGAATGATTGCAAGGTTTGGTGGCTCTGTGGAAGGATCGAGCGAGGAAGGTTCACACCAAGGCTTGTGAGCGTTTAAAAAAGGTCATCCAAAGCCTGGATGATGCTGATCGTGCTCGCAAGCCTTATTTGGTGGTCAATCAGCTTACCGGCATTCTCGGCTCTATCAAGAAGTTAAAGAATAAAGGTTTGTATCAGGTTCCTCCCGAGATGGTGGCGGAGCTCGAGGCTAGGCACGCGGCAGCGCTGAAAGAGTTTAACTCTGTCAACGCTTATGTCCTTACTGAAGAGGACAAGCGGATGTCATCACTTTCAGAGGCTGACGTGGAAGCTCCTGTCGATCACCCAATCGGAGGCGGACAAGATCAAGCGGGAGTCGAGCAGTTCGGCTCGAACGAAGATATGCTTAAGGCGGTTCAGACCGCTGCTTCTAAGACTGTTTAGTCTTTTGTTTATTTTCCTTTGAATCGAACTTAATTATCCGTTAATGAGTTATTTTATATGTTTTTGACATATTTTTTTCGTTTTCGAACCCTTGGTGGGTTTTTATATTTCGAACTTATTTGCCTTTCGGAAGGTTTTTATTATCTGCTTTAATATTCTGTTTTGAATATCTTCGTATTTTTTCTTATCTTGAAAAATTGGCTAAGTAATAGATCAGTTCTTAATGAGTTTAATTCGAACGTAATTTCGTTTTTCGGTAGCGAGTTGCGTTAACTCGGCTTATATATGCAAGTGTTGAGAACCTGACTTATGGTGCGAATCTGAGGAGTTCGGCTTAGGGTGCAAGCATTCGAGCTCGCCTAGGAACCCAAGTGAGTCGTATCGTACTGGAAGAGTGAGTTTAATCAAACTCTTGTAAATGCACGACATGAGCTCAAGGTTTTCTAAGTCGAACCTAAGTATGCGAGATGGGCTCGGCTTATTTTTTTTGGTGACTTAGAATTTTTAATGCGAGACTGGCCCCGGCTTTATAGTGTGGAGTTTACCACGACACCATGTGGGTGTTAGCGAGACGGATCTCGGCTTTTTAAGTTTGCATTCATGTGGAATGCTATCGATCAACTGGCCAGGAAGTCGATGTTGGTAAGAGTTCGTATCTCACGAGTATCGAACTAAAACTTAGACGTTTTCGCTTAATAAAATTTTATTGATATTATAGCTGGACTCGGTAACGAGTTGCCTACGTACCTTTTAAAAGGATCAAGCCATTCGTAGTTCTAAGTACAAAGGGTATTCTCTCCGAACTACTTAGTTCGGAGGTTTTTTTTTTTTTTTTTTTTTTTTTTTAAAAAAAAAAAAGAATAGCGATTTAGTAGTAGTATCGTTTAAGATGCATTGAGTTCCAGGATCTCGGGATCGGGGTTCCGTCGAGCTTCATAAGCTGATAAACGACAGGTTTAACAACTTTCATGACTTGATATGGTATTTCCGAGTTCGTACCGAGTTTTCCAGCGTTCTTTTCTTAGGTGTAAACTTTGCGAAATACGAGATCGCCATCTTCGAAGTGACGGCCTTTAACCTTTTTGTTGTAATAACGAGCTGCCAGTTGTTGGTAGTTTTGTATCCTGAGTAACGCTCGTTCGCGGTGTTCTTCGACTAAGTCAATCGTGTCGAGCATCATGTCTTTGTTTACGTCGGGCTCCTGAGTGAGCATAGTTCGGCGAATACTAGGAACGTTGAGTTCGGCCGAACACATAGCTTCAGTACCATACGCAAGAAAGAAAGGTGATTGACCGGTAACACATCGTGGCGTAGTTCGTTGAGACCATAAGACGCCGTCGAGTTCGTCCGCCCACGTTCCCTTAGCCGTATCAAGTCGCTTTTTCAGACTATCGATAATGGTTTTGTTTGTGGCTTTGGCTTGCCCGTTTCCTTGCGGGTACCTTAGTGTGGAGAAACTTAAGCGGATTTTCCACTTGGCGCAGAAGTTGGTGAAAATTATCGAAGTGAACTGAGTGCCGTTGTCTGTGACGATCTCGTATGGGACACCGTGCCAGCAGATGATGAATTTCCAGACAAAATTTTTGACGTCGATGCCGTGTATCTCGGGCTCTTCATCACCTTCAGCTTTGATGTCAATTGAAACGTGTTGGCCTTCGGATTTGCCATCTTGATTGGACTCGTTGTCACTTTGTTCATTCATATCAACATCGAGATCGGTGACAACTTCCTTAGTCTTTTTCTTTCGGGTGAGGGGTGGTCCGAGGTTGGGATGGGTTTCATAGTCGCGTCGTTTCGTGATAATATTGCAGACAGAAGCGGGCTTGATACTAGGTCCTTCGATTGCCGCAACTGGAATTGTTCACCGGAAGTCGAGATCAGAGTTAGTCGCGAGAGCAGCCAGAGCATTAGCGGAAGCGTTCTCGTCCCGCGGTATCTTTGTGAGTTCGAAGGTCGAGAATTCTGAAGCAAGATCTTTGAGGACTTTGAGGTATGCATCCATGCAATCATTCTTGGCTTCGTATTCTACGTGAAACTGGTTAGCTACGAGTTGTGAGTCGCAGTAGGTATGGATGTGTTCGGCGCCAATTCCTTTGGCGAGGTGTAATCCGGTGATAAGAGCTTCATATTCGGCTTCGTTGTTAGATGCCGGGAAACCGAAACGAAATGACTGTTCAACGATCTCGCCATCAGGGGATTTGAGACGAATGTCAACGCCAGATCCTTTATGGGACGAGGAGCCATCGGCATGGAGGATCCAGGGTTGAATGGCCGGATTAGCGTCGACGAGCTTGGGTGGTAGTTCGACCAAGAAGTCCGCTAGGACTTGGGATTTTGTCGCGCTCCTTCCTTGGTATTCGATATCGTATTCGCTGAGTTCGATGGCCCATTTAGCGAGTCGGCCAGATTGACTTGGGCTGTGAAAGAAGGTGCGAAGAGGATGGTCGGTTAAGACAACGATGGAGTGCGACTGAAAGTACGGGCGTAACTTTTGTGCTGAGATAACCACGACGAAGGCAAATTTCTCCAAGGTTGGGTATCGGTACTCTGATCCATCAAGGGACTTACTGGTGTAAAAGATTGGCTTCTGCTCGCCTCGATATTCTCGAATGAGTACACTGCTGACCGCGTATTCCGAGATTGCGATATAGATGTAGAGCGTCTCACCGGTCTCGGGCTTGGACAGAACTGGCGGTGTAGATAAGTACTTCTTGAGTTCAGTAAAAGCTTCCTCGCACTTTTCGTTCCATTCTAGGTGCTTGTTGTTACGCAGGAGTTGGTAGAACGGCAAACACTTGTCCGTTGATCGGGATATAAACCGGTTGAGTGCCGTAATGCGTCCGGTTAGCTGCTGGATTTCACGTTTGGTTGTTGGGGACGGGAGTTCGAGTATAGCTGCGATCTGCTTTGGATTATCTTTGATGCCACGCTGAGTGACTATGTACCCGAGGAATTCGCCGGACGTTACGCCGAAGGTGCACTTGGTGGAGTTGAGTTTCATGCCGTATTGGTCGAGAATATCAAAGCAGGTGTGAAGATGGCCGACATGATCGGAAGCGATAAGTGACTTGACGAGCATATCGTCAATGTAAACTTCCATAGTCCGCCCGAGCTGGCTTGCGAACATTCGGTTGACGAGGCGTTGGTATGTTGCTCTTGCATTCTTTAAGCCAAAAGGCATAACCTTATAGCAGTATATGCCGCAATCCGTGATAAACGATGTTATTTTCCGGTCTTGAGGGTGCATGAGGATCTGGTTGTATCTGGAGAATGCGTCCATGAAAGAGAAGAGCTCATTCCATGCGGTTGCTTCGACGAGACGATCGATGTGAGGCAAAGGAAAGCTATCTTTGGGACATGCTTTATTGAGATCGGTGAAGTCGACACGAATTCTCCATTTGCCGTTCGTCTTTTTAATGACCACGGTATTTGCCAACCAGTCGGGGTATTTGACTTCGATGATTGAGCCTGCTTTTAGTAAACGTTCGACCTCATCGTTGACGGCTTGTGCCTTCTCTGGTCCAAGTTTTTGGCGATTCTGTTGAATCGGTTTGTATGTCAGGTTGATGTTGAGTTCGTGACAGGCAATTTGCAGATCGATCCCGGGTGGATGTCCTCGACTGACCATGCGACGGTGGATTAGTGTTGCCAGGAAGTGAACGAGGGTGTCACGGATCTTCGGATCGAGCTCGGTGCCGATGCCAACCTGGCGTTCTGGCCTTAGTTCGTCGATGCAGACTTGAGTGATAGACTCTTGCTTAGGCTTTATTTTTTGGACAATGAGGTCAGCAGTCGGACCTTGCGAACTGATGACGCAGGCTTGATTGGCTGAGCGAAGCTAGCATTCGTTGATGTAACACGATCGGGCGACGGCTTGGTTACCTCGGAGAGTGTAGATGCCGTCTGGAGTTGGGAATTTGAGGCACTGGTGGTATGTGGAAGCAAATGCTTTCATCGCATGGAGCCAAGGTGTACCGAGAATAGCATTGTAGATTTCCGGTTTGTCGAGGATGAGGAACTGGATGATATTCGTAACTTCGACGAGGTAGATCGGGATTTTGACCGTGCCAACCGTCATGCAGCGTTCGCCGTCAAATACTGTGAGAGGTTCGATGAAAGGTTCGATTTTATCCGATGGGATGTCGAGCTGGTCCAATGCGTCTTTGAAGATTATGTTGACCGAGCTGCCGGTATCGATGAGGATACGGCTAACTTCGGCGTCATCAAGAAGGAGTTCAATGAAGAGAGCATCGTTGTGTGGTTTGTACAGTCCATTTGGTAAATATCAAAGGGGTTCCTTTCGGGGGATCATGCTGGAGTTTAGGCGCGGTTGCGGCCTGTTTGCTGTACTCCTTGATGGCCCGAAATGAATAACTGTAGGCTTCGATAGCTCCCATGATCATGTTGACGCGTTTCCTAGCTTCGGGGATATGGTTGTCTGGTGCGGGCTCATCGTGGTTGTGTTTCGGTTGCTCGGGCTGAGTGTGTGGATTTGGCGGAGGCGGTGGTAAAGCCGGTAGATCCTTTGTGATGGTGTTCTCGGGCGGTGTATTGTTTGTTCGGGGCGACTTGTTTGCGGTTGAATGACGGAGGTCGTCGAGTGAAATTTGTCTTTTCCGGTACTGTACGAGCAGGTACTCCCGCAGATGTCTGCAGTCTTCGGTGCTATGTCGTTTGCGATTATGGAATTCGCAGAATAGCAACTCGTCTTGGTCTTCATCGCTACGGATCCATTTATTGTTCCTCTGCTTGGTTGGTTGTTGGATGGCGTTGGCGTAGAATTTTTTGCGATTCTCATACCGTTTGCCGTAACCTGATTGCGGTTCATAAGCATCAGTCTTTGGTCGTTCGGGTTGTTTTGCCGAATAGCTCTGTTCGTGAGCTGCCTCCTCCTCTTCTTCCGCGATGTAAGTGTTAGGTCGGTGTAATGCGTCTTCCAAGGTCTGCGGAGGATTGTTTTTGATTGCGCTTCGGAAGCTTGTTTTTATCCGAGCTCCCTTCTGTAGACATAAGAGGGCGGCTTCATCGCTGACCATGCAGTTAGCGATAATCGTTTTGAAGCGGTGGATGAAGTCGTGAAGGCTCTCGTTTACTCTTTGAGCTATTTGCCATAGTTCGGAGTTCTTGGTGTTCTGTCCGATGAACATGGAGAAGTGCTTAACAAAAGCCGTTGTTAGCTCCTTATAATTGTTTATTGAGTTCGCCTCGAGTCGCGAGAACCAATCGAGAGCTATTCCTCCCAAACTTTCGACAAACAGCTGGCACTGGACCGCATCCTTCTCCTTGGCTGACCTGAATTGGTATCGGTTCATGCAGATTCCGAACGAGGTCAAAAAGTGTCGGGGGTTAGTATTACCTTCGTAGATCTTGATTTTGAGTTTCTCCAGGTGCCTGACAGGCGTTCCGGCTATGCGCGGTGTAAAGGGTGTCTTCTGCGTTTCCTGAATGACGCGATCGATCTCCGGTGCGGCGCTCGTTGCCTGATGAATTTTTGAAGTGATTTGGCGGAGTTATGTCTTCATTGCTTCGAACTCAGCGTCACGACTCAGATCTGGCGGTGTTGCGTTTGCCAACCCGATAGCAGTAGATCGCATAGTTCCAGTTGGATCGTTCTCTGTATTGAGATCGTCAATGATGTTACAAACTCGCAGGGGAGTTCGGGTTTGGCTGAGCTCGGCGAATTGTGCCGCCATTTGTGGAAGCGCTATTCGCTCCTTTTGTGGATAGCTTTGAACTGCGCATTGAACACCTGGAGCAGCAATTCGGTTCCAAGGGCTCCTACGGCCGGGGAAGTCTGCCCGGTCTTGGTTCCAAGAGTCTCCCCAGGGGTTCTTCCTGTTTGCTCTGCGGGAGCTTGGTTGTCGCCGTTCTCCTGGCCGAGAGGGTTCTTTTCGTCGTGGACGTTGACAGGGTCCATCATTGCTGAATCAATCTTTTCCGAAATCCGATCTAAAACTGAATTTTCTGTTAAAACCTCTTCCTGGCGCGCCAATTGTTGATATATGAATATCACACAAGGGGCAAAACAGTAATTTAGATCGGAAACTCAGATTTTATTAGATCAGTCGAGAATACAACTGAGTTCGTTTATGTAAATGATAAACGAACTAAGACTTAGGAAACTAAGAAGATAATGAATGCCTTGAGTTCTCAGTCCCCAAGTCTCTCGGGAATTTCTTGTGTCTTCTGGAGTCGATTCCTCTTCCTTTATATATACCTCCTAAGTCGGTCTTCTCGTTTTCCTTTTCTCTTCGCAATTTCCTTTCTTCTCGGAAATTTCTTTTCTTTACTCGGAAATTTTCCTTTTTCATCCGAACTCGTGGAAATTCTCGATTCCTTTGAGAAGTTTTGACTGACTTCGGCTTATCGGGCTATGTTTAGCCCAAGAGCTCGCCCGACCCTAATTTTCCCGATACAATACCTTCGTAAACCGGGCTTAATTCGTGCCGATCTCGGTTTGTACCGGAGAAAACCGAGGGTGCGGTTTTCACCTCCAACATCGAGTATTGAAAATGTTATTTGGAGACATATTTTTTTGTAATATTTCGTATTATACCAATAATTATTTATCTTTTATTAAAAAGGGGGTTTGTTTAATTCCCCAAAATTTTTATCTTTTATTTTAAATTTTGACTAAAAGCCCATCATCTTTAACAAAGAAAAGGCTCATAAATTTTTGTTTTCTTCAAAATTTCATACATTTTCGGAGATGGAGGGGAGGGTATATAAACCACCGAAAACCTAGATCTGAGGAGAGCGACTCACAGGCGCAAACAGGGACAGTCTGTACAAATTTTGTTGGTGGCCCGGGCATGGAAGGCGCTTGGAACGAAGAGAACATAATGCTGCGGAATAACACTACGCCGGAGAAAGACGAGACAAGTGACAAAGAAGAAGGCACAACCCAAAAGTCGTGAGGAAGGATGACCCCGATCAGGCTAAAGATTCCAGCGGTGGGTCAGGGAGATGCATTCACCAAACCTGCTCGATGACCCTCACGACAAAACGAGATACAAGGCTAGAAAGGGTGGATGCGTGGGTACCACACCCTTGTATGACCCCAGACGACTATCAAGAAGCAGGAGGACCCAGATTTTGGTGCGAATATCATCGATCTGGAGGACACCACACAGATGACTGCTCCACCCTCAAGGGTGAGCTGCTCGCCCTGATCCATCATTTCTCGACGTGGCATTTGCTGTCGGCGAAGGCGCAAAAGATGATGAAGAAACAAGATGAGAGTTCGAAAAGAATCAACGGTGCCAGACAAAGCGTGAGAGCTCTATCGACAAAAAAGGCGGAGGGCAGCGTCGAAAGTTTGTACGACCGTGAGCTCCTCTTAGCAGGGACACGGGCGCAGGTGTCCCAATCACCATGGTGATAGGTCAAAAATGGGTTAGGCGAGTGATGTTAGATCAAACCAGCCCCTTCAACCTCATATCACAGGAAACATTGAGGGATATCAGGAAAGAATGAAGGGAATTCCCGCCACTCCGAGAAGATCCAAACCACATAAGGGAAGGCCCCATAGGGGCAAAAGGAGAAATCACGCTTCCCGTAGGAATGGGGAGGATAACAAGAGTGATCACATTCTGGGTAGCAGGGGTATCAACTTAGTATGCAGCACAACTACGCAAACCAGGGATCGAAAGGGTGAAGGCCCAGATAACTCAGTAATAGGATTGGGTAAATCCACAGGAGAAAGAGGGTGATGGTATCATTGAGAGAAGAAGAGGAGGAAGAAAGCCCGAGAGAGGCTCAGAACCAGGAAATGACCAGGGCGATGAAATAAATATGCACAAATAAGAATAAATGTACAAGGGAGAGTACTGGCGATAAAAAAAGAAACTAGGTAAAACAAACAGAGTAGAGAAGAAGTGAAAAAAAACAACATAGGATGAGCCATCATGCCTTGAAATTGGAGGGAGTATACTCGTCACGAGGGAGAGGAGTAGGGTGCACCCATATGGCCCACTTGTTCGTCCAAGAAGATCCGAAGACGATCTAGCCGCGCCCCTAAAGCTTGTAGGACCTCCATGGAAAGGTGAGAGGGAGGATCGGAGGCCTCCTTGGGACCCTAGAAGACGAAAGAGCAAATAAGGAAGGGTTAGGAGCAGAACCAGGGATGTTCAAGGCGTAAGAAAGTTGACAAGGTGGAGGAAGCTAACCTAGAGAGACCCAACCAAATCGATTGGAGATGGACGGAGGACGTCAGAGAAATCTGGCTAGCGAGGCCAAGGGTAGTCAACTAGGAACGAGCTAAAGCGCTCCCAAACAACGGAAAACATACCGGGTTCCTCTGTCAAAACAGAGGTCAGTTAATTCTCCCCGGGAAAAGGAAAGGCAAGAGAAACAAGGAAGATCGGTGATAGCTTACCAAAGGATATGAAAGGGGCTCTCGCCATCGCACCAAGAGAGGTCCCTCCAATCACACCGGGTGGAGAAGAAAAAGAGGGTTCCGGAGAGCTTACGGGATGTGATGAAGGGACTCCGAGAAAGGAGGATATGAGAGCCTGACGACCGGATCTGACTATGCAAAAAAAAGGGGCGAGGAGGAATCGATGAGAAGAAACAGACTAAAGCGACGCAAATAGTGGGGGACAAGCGACTCTTACCCGGAGGAGACTAGTCAGACAGTCCCTTAGGACGAATAAAGACGAAATCACCATCTGGAGGGGAGAATGTAAGCCACGCCACACCAGCACCTCCGAGTCTCGAATGGGGACTAACTCATACCAGCGGGATCCCGAGACCACCTCACACCGGACGGTAGGTGCCTAAAATCATCCCTCCAGTGAGGTTTTCCCCCGGTAGGTCGGAGATGACTTGGAAAGAATGAATAAGGCCCCAGGCCTGCGCGGTGAACTGGCTTGTGGCTAAGGAGGCGGATCGTCATTCTTCCCCCATAATCCAGCAGATCTGGAATCGGAAGCCAGCTCTAAAGACAGGGGCAGGGATGGCGGGGAAGCCCTGGGGCGGAAACCATGGAGTGTCCGCTGTAACAGGGAGAATGATGTCGTCTTCAAGGATGTCAGAGTCAATCCAATCCATAAGCAGGCTTGCGAAGGAGCTGATGCAAGGGTCAGAGGAAGATCGAAGAGTCAAAGCCATTAAAGAGCACGGGAAAGAGTAAGCTCGAAAGAGACAAAAAGAGAACACGGCTATGACAGGACGGAGAAAGGTGGAATGTGAGGAAAAAAGCAAGACGACAGAAAGGAGGCGTTCTTTGGGGAACTTGGTAAGAGAGAAACGAGGAGGCATGTGTAGGACATGCACAAGCAGTAAAGATGGAGGCGTAGAAATAACCTGGAGGCATCGGGGAGCGAAGCACAGGAGGCAAGATATTGACAAGTGGTAGAAAACAGGCTTGATAGGGGAGGCCCTCCCGGGAAGATAGTAGATACAAAGGCATGTCAGGCCTAACAAAAAAATGTCAGAGGATGAGCTCATCAGAAGGATTTGAAGGCATTAAAATCGGGGACCATTGGAAGATTTGGCCCGCTCGCGGACCAACAGCAGCCAGTAAGGCCAGATTAGAGGGAGAATTTCCCCGAGGAGGAAAACTCATGGAGAAAAGCAAAATCTCAAGGGAAAAAGAAGAAAGATTCTTCGCAAATGAAAAATCCCCAGAAGAATCCGAGCCCCGAGGAAAGGAGAAATTGTCAGAAGGACAAAGATGAAGAAGACGAGGCCAAGATAGGAAAGAAGAATCAGATACCGAGGAAAAGATGATGAAGTCCTCCTTCGAAGGAGAACCATAAGAAGAAAGAAAAATTACGGAGAAAAATTAATCAGAGAAATAAAAGAGGAAGTTCTTTCACTCGATTCTCTTGCCACCAAATGCGATTCTTCGACTCTCCTGAAGAAAAATTGCTTCGACATTTGGGGTGTTTACCCCGATGGGGTCAGCGCAGTAGAGGGTTAGCCTGCCCGTTGATGCCGTATCCCCTTAATCTGACCACCTGAGGGCATTCCGCTCTATAGATAGTATAACCGTCCACTGAAATCTCGTCAGAATTTCATCACACAGCCTATGATTGGTTCCCTTTGAGGATCAGTCTGCCAGGTTCGGTGTGCTTCGTGGTGGACGGCTCTCCCTTAGAGAACCAGATAGCTCTAAGGGATCGGCCACGAAGTATTGCCAAGCTGGCAGGACGGCACTCTCTCTAGTACTTGACCGACGACCAGGAATTGTGTCCTTCATGTTACGAGCCTACGGCTCCAGGTCATTTTGTCCACGGCGGGTGACTCAGGCATCGCCTCCTTCGTGACCCATGGTCCCAGGTCATTTCACCCCTGGTTTCTGACTCAGGCAGTGCATCCTTCGTTTGGGCACACGGCCCCAGGTCATACTGCCCACGGCGGATGTCTCAAGCATCGCGTCATCGAAAAGTCGTTATGCGCCTCAGGTCAAAATGGTGACTCAGGCAACACATCCTTCATTGAAAAAGCATTACGTGCTTCAGGAAGATGCCCAGTTAGGTACGGCTAATGAGGGGTAAAATTTTTGGTTCCCGGCAAGGATAACTTCCATATCGTGGGTAGCTTCGCTAACCCGCGAAGTGGGGGAAAAATTGATGGAGATAAATTTAATCCTTTGTATGTGGACGAATAGCTAGTTCGCACATGGCATTTATGGCTTTTTAGCTGGTATGGCCCCCCAGGGCCAAATAAAGATAAGTATTGCCTAAGCTTATAGCACCGGGCCTCGAAACCATTCAGATTCGGAAAATCCGGCACGATAAGCCACCTGTTCCTTGCCTTCTCGTGTCAGAAACAAGGACGTCAGAAACTGAATGGTCAGGTGGAGGAGAGGCCACATTCTCTATGTTTAAGACCTAAGCTTGGTGATCCGGTAGGGTCGGAATATAAAGAAGTGTGGTTCGACAGATACCCGAAGAGCAAAGTCATCCAATC